CGGCCCTGCTGCCGGGGGGCGCCACGCCTGTGCCCGGCAGCGAGCCTGGGCTCTGCCATCCGCCCGGCTCGCAGCATCCCCCAGAGCAGGGCCAAGCTCCCGTCAGCCCTTCCACAAAGAACATCCCATGTCCAACCTCGCCGCTGTGCGTGCCCGTGCCGGCCTGGAAGCACGGCGACAGGGCAGGGCAGGGCAACACACTGTCCTGGGCTGGAGCTGGGGAGCGAGGGCACCCAAAAGCACCCCTCAGCCTGGTTTTTGCCTTTGCTTTTTATCCCTGGAGAATCCCGGAGGCTGTGGAAGTGCTGCTTAAACCTTGCAGTTAACAGGGCTGAGGGTCTGGCAGTCTCTGCCTCGTTTACCTGTTCGTCGCAAGTGCGGCATCATTGCCAGTGCTGCAGTTGCTTTAGTTTGGAAATGCTCGCTCTCAGTACGGAGCAGAGCGCAAGAGAAGAGTTAGATGTGACTCGCACAATACAGAGTTCAAAATTCATGAGGTCCTGGGCAATCTGCGTTGCTTTCCCCTGAGTACATGTGCACACACCAGTAGAACTAAATATTTTTCTTGCGTGGCAATGTAATGAGACCTGATTAAAGTAAACATGCCCTGAAGGTTTGGACATGATAGCGGCGTTGCATTATAAACGTCATTTTGATTAAATAATGGCTGCTTTGCTTGAACGGGATAACTACCCACCCGAAGCACAGAGGTGAAACTTCAGTTAATAATAAAGCTCCCACCAAGTTCAATAGAGCTGTATTTCACCTTAATTGTACCCGTAATTATGCTCTCACGGTTTGATTACAGAATTGACTGTTTCCCGCTTGGAGGGGGTACGCTTTGTTGTCTGCCTCGCACAGACGAGCCGGGAGCCGAGGGCTGCCAGCAGGCAGGACGTGAGCCCGGGCTCAGGAACGAGGTGGTCGGCCCCGACCAGCAAAAGCACGGAGCTCCCTCACTGCTGGACGTGAGAGGGGCCCTGGGAGCTGCCCCGGGGGCTCTCGCTACAGAAGGTACCCCAAGATCAGCCGGGAGCGGTGGTTGCCGATTCCTGTGGATCTGGCTACGCCGGTACTCAGGAGAAGCAATTGAGGCCAGCTGCGAGCGGGTCTAAATGCGCTGCATGAGACCTAACCTCCGCTCGAAAAGTTCACGGAGGGTTCCCAGGCTGAAAACTTGAAAACAACAGTCCGTGCCGAGGGGATAGTGTTCAGCAGCCAAGGACCCGCCTAGATAACCCCAGGACATACTTCAAATTTAGCATCTGTTTCTGCAAACCTGCTATTTAAAAAACATCCCTTGCTGCTGCCAGATCAGTGCTCTTTCGTTTGCGTACAGCCCCGCTCCCCACTCCCTGGGTGTGTATTTCCTCTGGACATCCCGTCTGCGAGCCGAAGCGGGCAGCGTGACGGCGGGCCTCGCGCCGCGGTCTGCGTGCGCGCCGGCGTGCGGCCCCAGATGTGTGCTGCTGCTCGGCCCCTCCTTCCCACGGTGGGAAGGGCGCGGGAGCTCTGCGCTCCTCAGCACGCCGGTTCGCTGCTCCGCGCTTTTCATCTCCGTACCTGCAGAAAGGAGGTAAAGCCACCTTTGGAAAGCTGCCTGGGCGCTGAAGCTGTGGGTCGGTATTAAACCGGGTGTTTCCATGGGCAACAAGCGACCGTGGCCACTCAGAGTAACAAAAGTAAGTTCATCACAGAATCACAGAATGGTGGGGGTTGGAAGGGACCTCTGTGGGTCACCCAGCCCAACCCCCTGCCGAAGCAGGGTCACCCAGAACAGGATGC